ACCACTCTGCTAAGACTTTTATAAACTGTGTACTAATTCACAGCATAGGAAAGATGAAACATCTAGCTACAAAGAACATAAAACTAATCAAAGTATTTATCTCTCCACTGAGTAGTATTTTGATTTTGCTAGTTCTGCTGTCGCAATCTACCATTGCATGATGTTTTGTTTAGGTTTTAAAGTGACCCAATTAATATTCTGAAAAGTTTGATATATGCATAGAAATTAGTAATTTTGAGCACTTTTGCTAAGGAGAAAAGTATTTTCCTGCTTCTGAAATATCCTCCTCTTCCCAGGAAATGAACTGGCAGTGATCATGATGTGATTATGAGGCCAGTCTGTATTGCAGAAAGGTAAAGTACTGCTGTAGAATAGTTAACAAGGTAATTGTTACATCCTGCATGGAGATACATACTGAAGACAGAAAGCTTCTGTGCTAGAGAAACAGAGCAGCAAAGGAGGAAGTATTCTTGTGTCTTTGGAATAAAGTAGTTTTATGACTCCTAAAATACAACAGCAGAACTGAAAGAACCTCATATTAAACACAACTTCTAATAAAATGGTAAGTGATAACAAAATATTTTGTGATTCCTGGTAGAAATAGCTGTAATACACATCTGTATCATATCCAGTATAATGTTTCTAGTCTTATTCCATTGCAATCCAATCTGCTTCATAAAAGCCTAGTGAGGCAGTGAAAGATCTGATTTGATTCTGGAATCTGTTAGAGCAAGTCAGTGAATTCTGAGACATAAACGTGGACTAACTAAAATGGAATTCTATCTGCCTATAAAGTACATGGAGACAAGAAACAAAGGAATTACATGTGGGTAGAACAGTTGCATAAGTGATGTTGGTGTAACAATTATTGAATTTGGCAGGAAGCTTCAAAATTATTTAATTCTTTTAACTGTATGGTTTTCTATTGCTGTATGACTTTGCTCATAGTGAAAGGCAAGTCCTTTTACTCTTTTTCTTTATCTTTTAGTCATATAATGGAGCTAGGAAAGAAAGATTTAGGACACATGATCACAAATTGGACCATCCTGTTACTATTTTCTTTCTATTGTTTAAGTCAATGTAGCTGTTAAGTCTCAGGTTGTTTCCTGGATGTTTCAAAAGGTGTGAGGACAAAAGCCATCTGCCTATGTGATCATAGGGATTTTTTTTTTAGCCCTGTAGGATAAAAACTGGTCCTTGTAATGAATTGATAGCAGAAAAGCCAGAATGGAAAAACCCACAAACTGAATTGTCTCAGGAGCAGACCTATATAGTTATAATGGTTTTACATTAAATTGTGTGTGACATTTGATTGTCATTAAATGTCTCTAAATGCATTTAGAGATAGTAGGGAAGAATTCTATGTCACAGGGATTCAGATTTTTGTAAAGAAAGAGGAAAGGATTTGTTCATTTACCTTTTCCATTGTTGGTGTTCATCATGTATGGCAAATGGCCATTGCGTACAATGGTGAAAGGAGGCAATTCTTTACCCCCTCCCAGGTTTGAACAGAGCCCCAGAAAGAGGATGGGGTGATTTTTCCTCCCCAGAGCTGAGCACACAATGTATGCCTCACACCTGAATGGGATTGCAGCAGAACCCCCAGTGGGGACTAAGAGACACTGAGGAAATCGTAAAAAAACCAACCCAGAGCAGGGATGTGCTCATGTGTTTATGCACATACATTTAACAAGAAGTTTACTCTGTCCTTCACCATTTGTCATCTTTTTGGTCTCTACTGTTTACTTTGAGCTCTCCAAACAAGGGTCTTTTTTCTACATATGTGATGTAGTGGGAAAGTGTTCACATCATCCTTTTTTGCTGTATCCATTAGACAGTAGTGTGATATTTTTCCTTCTCAGTGTTTCCCACTCACCCAGCATCGTTGGAGTGGCAACAAAACGTGTCTGCTGTGCATGTTGCCTCTTGTAGGGCTGGAAGAGCAGCCTGCACTTCAGTGTTCTGCATGCAGCATCAGGCAGTGCTGAATGGAAAATGCCATGACCAATTTAGAAGAAATAAAGGCCATTCATCTGCCTTTGAGGAGTAACCTAGATACAGACCTCACTGTGCTGGGTGTAACATGGAGAGATGCCCTGTCTGGCAGAACCATTGAGTCAAGAAATTCAGAGCAGGAAGAATACAAAATAGCATTGCCCTTCTTTTAAAAGTGAGAACCCAGGCACAGTTTCTTCTCCACCAAGATCAAAATGAACATCTGTGGCATGTGAAAGAAACAAATCTCAGAATAACAAGTCTGAGACACTTCCTTCATGTGGGGGATAGCTGAGACACATGAAATGGGCTTTTTAGGGACTCTTCATTCTTTCCCAGTATTAAGACCTCAAGGTGTTACTTACGCTTGAATATGTTAAGTTCAGCTGATTTACCTTGGTTTTTTATTATTAAAGTACTAGTTCAAGATTAAGCATTAAAAATTATATTTTCCTACTGAATTTGACACAATATTTTTGAATTTCATGAATCTATGAAGGCCTGAACACTCTCTAGTGTATTAGACAAAAGTAGTGATTTACATTATTTTGACGTTGCAAATGAGTTTTCAAGGGTAATGGATTTCATATAGAGAGATTAAAAGATAACATTCCTTCATTTGTGCCTGCTAACTTCTTACCCTATCATACTACATTTAGCAAAATGAATAAGGCAGAAGCAATGCTGGTGTATTTTTATGTTAATTAACATATTTTAATTTCAAATAGCATTTCTGAAGAAAAGATACACTCCAAAAAAAGTGATGCCAGGGCAAAACTAATGAATTTTCATTCTTTTCACTATACTTATGCTTTCATGAATCCTTTTTGTTATATTCTGGTGCATGAGAATGCATCAGTAGGCACTTAGAATATGCAGCCCACAGATTTGATTTTTACAGAAACCCATCTTAACTTTTTTAGCTACATAATAAAGTTCACCCTAAAAGTGTGTTATTTTTAGTGACCAGTTGGGTAAGAGCTATAGGAGTGCAAACTTCAGGAAGGCAGGTAAGGATTTTTTTAAAAACATATTTTAAATTACAAGAAGACTTTGCACACAAAGGATTTGCTGTTTTGTACCTAAATTGGACTATTCTTAGACAAATTTTAAGGGTAGGCCAGTCTTGTCCCCAAAAGTCTGCAGCTGAGAGCTCACTCTTGCTTCAGTTGCATTGCTTAAAGCAGTGTGATGTATACTTTAATTTGTTAAACTCTTTTTCATATCTTGGTGCACCTTGGAAAACCCTTGGCTCCTTGGGAGTGAAAATGGTTTTGGCCAGGGTGCTATAACACAGAAATGTCCATGGTCTCTGCATGATGCCCGTGGCTGCTGGGCCAGTGACCATATTCTAGTGGTGATGGTGAGGGGCTCAAGAAGCAGCCCTGTTGGTCCATGGATTGCACTGCTCTGATCCCAGACAATTCCAGTAAGGATTCTTAGTTCATGGCCTCTCCAGGCACAGATTCACTGGCAAAATACTGACATACTGTGGTTTACTTGTGCATCCTGTCAAGAATAGGGCACAGTAAACCAGTCTGTCCTTCGTGTAACGCTTGTCACTACAGCAATCTAAAACCAACGACATGGTTGAGCAGGATTGTTGGTACTCATGAGAACAGATCAATAAATGATGTTTCTTTTACTTCCATAACTCTAGCATATCCAGGTTCTTGTATAAAGCAAGAGCACTGGCCATGGTTTCCTGCACTGCAGTAAAATCAACAATATATTCCACAGAGCCAGGCAAATCTCATGTTTCTTCTGCTCAGTGAATAGACAGAGAAAACAGGCTCCTCAAAAATATTTTAAATCACATTGCTATAGTTCTTGTTAGCAACCCTCCAGAACTTTCACTATATGAGTAAACACTTGTAGCTCTGGAAACCAAAACATTATTCAGGAACTTGGTTTGAAATAATTTCTTTTACAAGTAACAAAACAAATAACACTGATTTTCTCTAAATTCTTTTGGAGGAAGAGAAAAAGAATGATTTGAGAAGTTAACAGTAACTCATAGGTAAGTTCCAGTTAAGCAGAAGCCAAAATTAAAAACTAAAAATTTTAGGTCTAAATAAAGGCATATTAATCCATATAAGAGACAATTCCCCTTTTTAGAAAGGAAATACAGAAATTTTCTATAGTTTAAAGTAAATTCAAACTTAGGATATTCTTACCCAGCTATGTAGAGCCATAGTAATACTTTTGTAAGAAAAAGGTACTTAATTTAAAAGTTAGGAAATATAAAAGTTGTCACCAGACCTAATTTTTTTTTTCTAAATGAAAAAATTATAAGCATTTTTATTTTCTGTAAAACTGTCTTTTCTTCCCCAGGTCTTCTTGAACTGGGACAGATTTTTACTTTGTTCAGTAAAAGTTTGGAAATTGAATAAATGTATTTTCTTTCTAATTAAGTGATGATAAAAAGAATTATTTTAGTACTGAAATAGTCTACTCATGGTATAAGTTCACAGCTTGTTATTCCTGCCTGAAACATGAAGGAAAGGAAGACAACTCACTTCAGATCACTTCAGATTAGTGGCAGGGCTCTTCCTAATTGTTGACTACATCAGAAGAGTGAAGATGAATGCTTGCTTGTTATAACCATCCACTCAATACAAAAAGTGATAAACTTTGTGGAATGAGCATCCTTTTATACTCCAAGATTTCTTAAGGTAGAAGAATAAAATTTAGGTTTCAGAATTCCCTTAAAAGCTGAAATATGCTTTCTGTGCATGAAGATTGGACAAATTCATAGAAATCACAGCTTGTTATGGCCAATGGGAGATTTCCTTCTGGAGTAAAAGACCTTCTGTATAGAATACTAACACTATAAATTTTAACATGAAAGACACATGAATTTACAGGTTGGAAGTACATGCAGAGAAGACTGAAAATTATGAAATGGAAAAGTTAGCCGAAGATTTTGGTCTAGGGCAGAGTAAGTGAATAACTTCTAGAGGTTAACCCCCACCCCCTGTAGTAACTCTGTGTTATCCTTCCAGGTACCTGGGAATAACAAGACCTCTTACATACCCTGTAAGGCAGAATGGGAAGTGCATGGCCAAAATGATCCTGTGTGTCTGGCTTTTATCTGCCTCCATCACCATCCCCCCGCTCTTCGGCTGGGCCCAGAACGTAAATGATGAAAAGGTTTGTCTCATCAGTCAAGACTTTGGCTATACCATTTACTCCACAGCAGTTGCATTTTATATTCCAATGTCAGTGATGCTTTTCATGTACTACCAGATTTATAAAGCTGCCAGGAGGAGTGCTGCTAAGCACAAGTTTACCGGTTTTCCCCGTCTGGAAGAAATGGAAGGGATTTCTGTGAATGGACTTGTAAAACTGCACAAGGAATCTGAAGAATGTACTAATTTTTCACGACTCCTAAAGCATGACAAGAAAAACATTTCCATCTTTAAAAGAGAACAGAAAGCTGCCACCACCCTTGGGATTATTGTTGGGGCTTTCACAGTCTGCTGGCTGCCTTTTTTCCTCCTCTCAACTGCAAGGCCCTTCATCTGTGGTACAGCCTGCAGCTGCATCCCACTCTGGGTGGAGAGAACATTTCTCTGGCTGGGCTATGCAAACTCTCTCATTAACCCTTTTATATACGCCTTCTTCAACCGGGACCTGAGGACAACCTATCGCAACCTGCTGCAGTGCAGATACAGGAATATCAACCGCAAACTCTCGGCCGCGGGCATGCACGAGGCTCTGAAGCTTGCAGAAAAGCCAGAATTTGTTCTGTAAGGTCACTCATCCTCTCCTGTGATCATTTGTTGTTTTATCACATTGGCTTTTTCCCCACAGGTTTGAAAGAAGTGTAGGAAGAACCAGCTGAGCACTGTTAGTGCAGTCATCTGGAAACAAGGTAGAGCCCACCAGTCCTAATCAGCCTGGAAAAGCAACACCACCATCTAAAGAATTTGGGTGTAAGAGGAATATAAACAAGGATGAAATTGGGATGGAGTGCAGGATATTTGAGCTGTTAGTGAGGAAAAGGTAAAGTTGGCCTAAACTGTTTGGCCCAAAAAATGTTTAGTAGCTCTGATGTTGGATGCACCTTGTGTCCTAGAGATTCTTTGCTGTATTAAAGACCTGAGAATGAAAAGTTAATTTCCTTCCACTTCAGTATTACAAAAATAAATCATTAAAGAAGAAGCTAAATCAAAGAACTTCTATTCCTTAGAAATATTCTTTATTATAAAACCCCATATGTTCATTAAACATTAATTTACTGGATTGCCTGGAAAAGAACTATGTTGTGAAATTCATTATTGCCTTTGCACAGCAACTCTGGTGCTGAAAGAATGTTACACTTTCAATGTGATTAAAAGTTTGAGTAGTCATACAGATCAGCATCTACTGCTTCATACAGCCATGCAGCACAGGTAGCTGCAGTGCTGCTGTGCAAATCACACCAGGTAATCTTGTACTGTATTTCTAACATAACACATGTCTCTGATTACACTTGATTTCAGGATCTGTCTGGTCTTTGTCCATCTCTTCCTTCTTTAATTCTCTTGGCTTTCTCAGCTGAGCACTTCTCTGATCTAGATGGAGACTGTCTGTGCACAAGTCATTTCTGTGATGTATGGCTGATCCTTGTGCCACTTCAGTAGTTAATTTACTGTCTATTTGAAAGCTCTTCTACTTTTTGGGACTTCTTTCTCTTCTGAAGTCAGTAAGGAAAAAACAAACATAAGACCTTATGACTTCACAGACATCTGGACTTCATCCTTAAAAACTGATTTTAATCATCACTTGTGCTTAAAGTGATTTAAAGCCTTGCCATGTGTATGAATAAAGATAATTTACTTTTTCTGGTTCTAGCTTCTTCTACCATCATTTCAGTTTGTCCAAAGACATGATCCTACTTCTCCTGACTTTGGTAACAGATCTCTTCTGTCAGTGTAGCAGGGCCAAATGGTATAACAATTTTTTTATTAAACATTAATAATAAATTTATGAATTATATTATTATATTCCTAGTAATGTATTAATATAACATGCTGAGATTTTGTAAGATACTATTATAATAACTGAAAATAATAATAAAACAACTCATAAAATCAAGATGAGTTCTTTGGCCCAAGTTTGCACTGCACACCATGTTCCAGCTGGAGCAGAGAGCGAGGGTACATTACTGAACAAAGACCTCAACCTTCAGAGCTTGATCTACTTTTTCAGATATTGGGACATCAGTGAGGAGTCATGTTCATTATCAAATTGCCTCAGCATCAAATCCCACTTTAGGCTAACTTCTGTCCCTGCTTCCTCAAGTCTGAAGGCAAAATGACTTCAGTGAGTTTGGTGATGCTCATTTGGGCTAGGCAGGGAGCAGCCTGTGCCAGACCCTTGTTCCCAGCATTCAGATGGAGCTGCAAACTCTGGACCCTCTCACTGGCACACAGCCGGGAGCTGGACTGATCTGCTGAGCCATGAAACTGAAACGTGCTTAAGTAATTTTAGATGCATTCATACACTACCGCAGGAAGTACATTTTGGCCTCATTTCCAGAACAGAATTGTAGCATAAGAGGCTGTATTCCAGCTTTAAAACAGTTTTCTAAAGAAGTTTCAAATTGATCTGGGACAGTCCTATTCCTTTTAAATGTTCTGATATTATGCACAGGGACAAGAAGAGATTTGGACCCCGAAGATCCACAAGCTCTGGAGTATGGAGAAGAGCTCATGTTAACTCAAACATATTTTCCATAGTAAACATGAAATTATTGCTGTTTCTTTATTACTTATCAAAGTAGCTTTGTTTTTTGTTTGTTTCCAGCATAAATGAGAAGTTTTCAAGGCCTTCTGTAAGTTTTTTTTCCTGTATAAGTACATACATAGGAAGATACAAATAGATGTATCTGGGAAGACTCCAAGTGGAACTATAAAGCTCTGAACGTGATTTTAGAAATTTTAGAATTCTGGACAGAAGTTTCAGCATTTTTATTCTGCAGGAAAGCCTGAGAAGCTGTGTTTCCTCCAAATAAGATGTTTTTGGGTTTTTTTAAAATGCAATATGTGTCTTGTGAGTCAGAAATTGACATTTGCCCAGCTGTCACTAAAGGAATTGCTATCCTCTGGGAAAACATCCTGCAGCAGTCCAGCTTTCCTCTACCATCTGTTTCAGGTAATGAAAACTCAGGAAGGAATAAGTTGTTATGGTGTTTATACCGATCCTTGAAGTTTTTGGAGATAAACATCCATATTTGATCTCTGGATGTGTTTGGAAAGAAAAGAAAAACCGAAGGGAAAAAACTCCAAAAACCAAAACACTACAAAGTTTCTTCATACACCCAAATCAAAATATAGAAAAATGGAAGGTGTTTCTAGATGGAGTTGTATTTGAGGGGAAAAGTATAAAAGTTGAGAAGATTAGAAGAATGTCCCATTTCCCAAACACACAAAGAAGTTGAGAAGAAGAGACATTTTGCAGACAGAATTCTAATGGAAAGAGGCTTTAAGAACAAGAAAGATATAATTGTTTGGGTTTGTGTACAGGATATTTCCCTTTTTTAAGAGATAAATAAATTGAACTGCATCACAATATCTAACTGCAGCAATAGCATTTTTTTCACTTAGATAATTCACTACAGATCTGACAAGGGGGTAGTACAAAAATGGGTGTATGAGAAGTCTATGTCAACATGTGCTTGTAGCAAATCCAAGAGGAGACTGCACTCTTGGTCTGTGGGCTCTTCCATGTGTTTCCAGAGGAAAGCCAGAAAGCTGAATCAAATAGGTGGGGTTGTGAAAGAAATGGAAATAAAAGACTCCAGGATCCAGGCACAGCACAGGCAGGCCAGCATAACTGACTAAGTGAAGAGGGAGAAACTGAGAATTGTACTCCCCCTGCCCACTTAGCACAGTTTTTAAGAAGGAGCCCGACTGTGGTAGGAACCTGATTCCTGACACTTTTTCCAGCTCCCACCACCTACCAGCCTCTAGATCTAATACTGTAACAGAGTATTGGCACTTGCAAACTCCTCTGTTTAGCAGCAGCCTTACTGGGGAGTAATAGAAATAGCAGAGTAGTAAAACATGTGACTCGGCAATTATCTTATTATTGTGCCTCTATTGCTTCACATTTCAGTTTCATAAAAAGAAAAACAATGTTTTTCATGCTCTGTTCAGAGCTAGGACCAACTGCAGAAAGATATTTCAGAGTGGCAAATAAATCTACTGCAATGAGACAAAGAATGCAATTATTTACCAAATTAATACTATAAATAATGCAGGCAAAGTCCACTCACTCTTTTTACCCTGATACCTGGCAGGAAAACAGTTTTCCAGGCAGCCATTGCTCCAAATAGTGCAGCATTATTAAAAGAACATTACTGAGTTAGGTTTTTGGATTACTGACCAAGATGCTGCAGTTACAGAACTGGAAGGTGTTGGAAGCCATGCCATTGATTTTTGTGCTTTCCCTAGCTATTAAATTTTCATAGAAGTTTTCTAATCTTTCAGGAAAAAAGCCTATTTAAATTACAGTATTCTCAAAAACAGTGCAAGATCAATGTGTCATCAAATCCTCTTCACAGTTTGCTTAAGAAGTAATTCTTGTCTTTTAAAATGTTCTCACAAAGACACAGAGAAAGAGAAAGGAGAAAATTAAGTGACTTGGGAAATGGTTTTAATATGCAAAATTATTAATATCCCGGAATAGAAGAGACCTCTTATTTCAAACGTTGACAAGGTAGGGATTGTGAGGACTAGATTTTTTTTTTTTTTTTTGCAGAGAAGGGCTCAAGCAAGTAAATTTAAAAATAGCTAAAGAAAAATTGAATCAGAAGAGTAATCTTTACAATTTGCAAGAAATACAAACTTAGATCCCTCTTCATGGTTTTAAATCTTCTAAGGTTGTTATCACCACTAAAGTGTGGGTTCAGCATGAGTCTGAAGTGAATTGTATTTTCTATATCCACTTTCTTAATTTTTGCCAAATGGGCCTGTCATTCCCCACACCCAAAATCCAGCTGCTCTGCTCTTTTGCTGAATCCCTTCTCACATAGGGATAGTTCCAAAAGGACAGAATGGTTTTTATTAGCTGAAAATGGAAAAGATGCTTATGATTCCCAGATTCATTTCTCAGTGCTGCAAGCTAAAAAAAACCCATTGAGCTACATCTAAAAGATATTAATATATGGTGATTGCTGAGCATAATATTTTGATGATTTGTGTAGCTTTGTGACTTTACTGATTGAAATGATACTTTCTCTCTTTTGCAACCTTTCACATAGAGCTAGTCAAGTTACTTCAGAAAAAAATCATGCACAAATGTAGCAAAGTTTCCAGAAGAGTTCATCCAGTTTCATAAACCAACATACCAGACAGAGTAAATATTTTGCCTTTTTTTTTTCTATCTTCTCAGTCAAAATCAACAATATTTAATTAATTCAGTAGTTGTGTGGTCTTGCTAGTTCCAGGAAATTGTGTTTACAGTATACATATTTTTACCTTTTGCAAGAGAAGAGAAAGCAAGCCACTGAAGTATACTTAGCTCAGCCCTTTTGAAAAATCTCTTTTGAAGCATGGAAAAATATAAAAGAATGCATCTGGACAAAGTCATTATTGCCTCAGAAAACTTGGCATCTTTTGCTAAACTAACCAGGTCTGTGTAAAAACAACAGGGATTCAACCATCCTGAGGATGGTTGCAAGGAAAATACAAAAATTAGGCAAATTAAATGAACATGTGCTTCCCAACAATGGTTGCAAAAGCTGCCAAATCCATGCATTTTATTTCTGTCTTCAAAGAAAGCAGTAAATGCAGCAAGTGAAAATCATGCTAAGGACCTTTCACTTGTCATTACAAGAAAGGAAAATCAGAGGTTCAATTACACATAAAGTAAATGCTGCAAAATAACATTTAAAAAATAATAGTTATTAAATGATAATATTTTTTTAATATCTCTTTCTGAAATAATCTTCTATCAGCCCAGAAAAGAGAGAAACAACAAACAACATTCTCTAAGGAAAATTATATAAAATCCAGAATTTTATTCTGGCATTAAAAGAAAGTCTAGAATAGCATAAAATATAGAATTTATAATGTCTTTATCTTTCCTTTATATCTATTTTTGAACTTGGATATGATTACCAGCCTTTCTTTAATTTGGATAATTTTTTACCAGGATGTGTTTTTATGTAATAAAATATTTGAAATAAGTAAACATGCAGATTTTTCTGTAAAAATGTCTGCTCCTCTACTATTAGAGATATGAAAGCCCCCAGAATGCTCCATTTCCCCCCAGCTTCCTCATTTATATGGAATTTTAGAGAATTTATCTCAATAGACATGATCTAATTGCCTCTTGAGAAATGTTTCCATTTATTTCAGTGATATATTTGGTCAGAGCTTTTAGGTGCTAAAGGATATTTCTAATCCAATTCATTAACTTTTTTAACAACAGGAGAAGTTCTGATTTCTCCAGGGAAAAAGAATCATGACCAAGTGTGCTTCAAAGCAGCCAGAAAAAGTCCAGCCAGACCAGGAAGAAGAAAAATGAGGAGTTGGCTTCTGAAGAACTGGATAGATTTATAAAATGTACTTCAACCTCCTTTGATGGGAGTGTGCTAAAAATATTCCATGAGCTCAATACATTACATTAGATATATTTCTATTGGAAGTACTCACATCTTGTTTGTTACGGAGGAAAATGCTGATACATACAAATGAAAATAGTCTTCTGCCTGAGAAAGCCAAATAATTTCAGCAATAAGTTTGACACAGGGTGGAAGGAATGCCACTAAAACTCAAAGATAAAGCATTGTACAGATTTCCACCACATTTAACTATGTAGAAGAACATTTGTATGTTTACCATGCTTGTGGATCCTAACATTGGTATTCATATTCAGGGATTGCCAGTGATACTGAATGTATTTTGCTGTACTAAAAATAGAGGTTTTCAGGCAAATTCTGTCTCTGTAGATGCTTTCAGAGCTTGTGTTAAAGAGATGCTGTACACCTGCAATGGGATTGAGAACTACAACAATAAAAGACCAATTTTTGTTAAATATTTCTGTTGTATTAAGTAAATGTTTGTTACTATTTAGCATACATGTCATTGGTTCTCCCTAACTTTTGTAAAAATCTGCTTTCAGTCACACAGTGATGAAAGTTAAGAGGCAAAATTAGAATGCACATGTATTATACCACAGCTAATTTACAAATATGATTGCTCTACTTTAATGTAATTTTCATGACCTGCCAATTTATGAATTTCTGTCATTTCAACTCAAATATGTATAAAATGCTGGAGAATTTCCACAGCACTTGGCTTTTTGTCTTACTGGCTTGTTAGAGAGAGAGGTTTTTTTTTTTTAATGTGTTTAAGAAGTGTTATTTCTGCCAATATTTTGTTATAATTAAAACAGATCCTTTTGGCTTGATAAAAACTAAATAGGTAATTAGGTAATATACTAAATAATAGTATAAATGACCAAATGACTATTTTTCCCAGGGAAAATGGATTCAAGGCATTGTTCCTTAAGCATAGCTTTTAATATTTTTTGGGTTTTTTTTGAGCTTCTCACATATTCATTTCCCTTCTAAACTATGTTTAGAGTTTCTAAACTATGCACAGTTATACAATACACAATGCAGAAGCATATCCCATTCCCAAAGTCTTTGAAGGAACTCCTCGATGAACACTTGCCTTATTTCCATAGCTGTGGGATTTGTGATAATTTAATCCCTTACTTGCAATTTAACCAAAATGCTGCTGGTAAATCATCCAGTGGCTATATGTGTCATTGGGGCTTTAATTTCCTTTGTTTATATCAATGTAAAAGTTCACCATAGCTGCCTAAATAAGGAGTCAGACATACCAGAACAGGCCAATGAATTTCTTATTGGCGAGGAATCAGCATAGGAAGCAAATCAAATCTATATTAAACCTACGTAAAACCTAGAACAGAGAGCCTAATCCTTCTCTACACACGATCCTGACACCCTAAGGTAACTCCTGTGGTCACCTGAGAGCACCAGAGTGGCAGATTTCCATTTCACTAGGTCAGCAAGGCTCCTTTCAGTATTCTGCTGATATAAATACTCACTGTGAACTCTACACCTGAAACAAAAGGAGTCTTACAGTTTATTTTATTTTCCAAAGGGCATGACACAGAAGTGCTTTTTACTTGGTTTGCCTGAATTATTTAACAGGAAATCTGACAGTTATTGGCAATGGCCAGTGGACCAGTTCTGGTTGCATTTTATGAGAATACATTCAGAGGAACTCAGCTGAAGGCAAAACTACAATGGCAGATAAAATTATAACTGAACCTAGAGAGAAAAGGAGATGATAGTTTCACAAATGTAACAAGCAAAAAGGGGAAAAAGGAGGGGAGGGGTTTACTTTTTTTAAAAAAACCCAAGCCTTAAAATGAGGGCAGTGGCCATATTCTGAAACCCATTTTCAAGCTTTATGGTCTCAGTTGCATGTCCATTTCACAAAGGCAATGAAGCAATTTTACTTTGATGAGTTAGACTGTCATTTTCCTTGTTCATGATGCTGTGTCAAAACCTTAATTTGAAGTGAAATGGAAAATTATACATTATATTAATATTTTAAAGGATTTCTAAAATTTCCAAATGAAAAAATAGCTGCCAGTAATACTTTTCTGTGAAAATTTATGACGTTTTTAATGTCATTATTTTAAGCTTAAGGGAAAATGTGTGTTTTAAGAGGAACTTAACAGAGGGCAAAGGAGTCAGAAAGAGCTTTAAGCTGCTACAGTTTCAAGCAGATGTATCTATACATATATATAACACACACTCATGTCCCTTGTACTTTAGGATGGTACTTCCTCATGAAAAGAAGGTAGTGAATCTATTATTACCTGATAAACATTTGTTTTACTACCTATTACATTCCCAGAATCTCACAGAAATTGTGGTTATCAATAGGACAGGCTGTGGCTTCACACACCTATAAAGTTGCTGTTCTACCTGTTTTTCCAGAAGTTTTTCAGACACATAAGCAACACAGAGGACATTAGGAACTACACAGTTCTGGTGGTTTGCAATAGGAAATGAAGCTTATTTTTCCTTCCTGCTGTAACTGTCAGGTCTGTCACCTCTCACACCAAGGCACAAACTCACACAGCAGCTCACACAGGAGAGAGACCCAAGGCTAAGTGCACACCCAACACCAGCAAATAATGCACACATTTTAGAGGATTAGGAAAGAAATAGGGCTGATCAAAAGAGGTCAGGAGATGAGACAGCCTGGTGGGATAAGGAGCAGAGCTTTCAACAGGGCTACAAGGGCAGCACACAGACCTGCCTCCCACTGAGATCATCCAAGTCCCCAGGCTGTGGATATAATGGCAGCAGAGTGGATGATGCCAGAAGCAAGGCTCAGAACCCCTGTCCTGGATTTGCAGAGGATGCCTCTCTAGCTCTGTCCGTAAAACCTGTTCTGGGATGTGACAGTAAGCAGTGTGCATTTTCACAGGGCTGCCTTATGGTAATTACCATTGCATTGACCAGTTACCATTGTCATTCAATAAAATAAATTACTTTAAAAATTTGCATACACCTTGATCTTTCACTATCCACCCAATCCTGTCTTTTCCCCATATACTCTTGTGGTTAACAGACCACTGAGGTATTTGGTGGACAAGCCTACTGCACCTTTATTATATCTCTCCTACATTTCCCTTTTTGTCCTTTTTTTTCAGATTAATCTTCTATTCTACAAATGCAAAGCCTTTTCCTAGCTGTCCCCTTGATTCTACTGTAAAGTTCTTACTAAATTATGTGGCTTTATCAATGTGACAAAGTGATTCATTTGCTTCAGACATGAGCAAAAAATAAATTCAGTGATAAAAGAAGAAAGTTTTTATTATCACAATATACACTGATAAAAAGTTACGTGGAAGCACAAAAATCTACATATACTATGTAAACAGTCAGATGGTCTCAATTTTAAAAGATAAATGTGAATTCTATGTATTATTTCAGCCAGCTGGGACTTTTAATACGCAAAATTCACCAGAGGATTGAGATGGAACTCTATTTTAGGTCATATATTTTACCTTGAAAAGGTCTGGTAAAATATAAAGATGGGTAACATAAGAGATTCTTTTCCCCAGGTAGCTTCCCAAGAAATACAAATATGATGAAATTAAACTCCTCACATTTTAATTAGCTTGTGCTGAAAATATTGAGCCTCTTTTGTTGTAATATGAGTTTTACTTGAAAGAAAAAGAATTTCTGCCACTTACATTGCAAATTATTCAAATTTATACAGCAGACTAATTTAGCAGAAAAAGAAATAGGGTTCTTCTGTATTAGGTACAAAGTTATATTATGCTTTTAAAATGTATAAGCCTAGAGGAATATTAAAATGTTAATTTGGATAGTATTTAAAAGGTAATTACTTTTATACAATAAAATAAGTCTACTGAATACTAATCCCTGTTTCATGTGCTTTTTTGAACTAATGCTACATTAAATAGAGAATCCATTTGTTTAAGTGATTTTAATTTAGATACGTGGAAGACATTATCATCTACAAAACTGTCTGCGTTTTTTCAACTCAACTAATGGAAAATCCTTACTGTATTAAATTCAGTGTTGAAGAAAGTACTTACGCTTGTTGGAGAGTGGTGAACGGAAAGAATGAGAGATTTTTAATGACTCTCCTGAAGAAAGCATGGTTTGGTTGCTCAGCACAAGTGCTGCTGCAACGAGCACTGGCAGGGGCCATACGGAGCTGGTTGAGACTGATTGCTCCGAAACAAAAGCTGATTTCATCTATTTAAGCCTTTTCAGGGAAGGGTGAATGTGGAAAAATTTTATTGGCATTTCAATGCAGAGAAGACTGCTCAGACTAGCCATCATATTTTGTCCAAATTCTTGAATTATATAATCTAACCCCTTATCTGTGATAATCTTTTACTTGGGACACCCTCAGAAAATGATATTCAGGGGTTTTGTAACATATTTCATTCATGCTAGTGTTTTGTTTTTGTTTTTTTTTTTTCCTAAATCATTGCTTGTTTCTTTAGCCAGAATATTTTCCTATGGTCGACTACCTATATGAATTATTTTGTTAAAAATACCCCTTATCTAAATATAATCAAAATTATATTTTGATTTATTTTTAAACATTTTATAAAAGAAATTTTTAGGAGATAGAGTGTTTTGAAACTGCTCTCAAAAAATCAGTTTTTCATGTAACATCTCAGTTGTTCTGAGCAAATCTCATCTCTTATAGTTTCAATGACCAGATTCAGGAAAGATGAAAGACACAAACAGCAGCAGGAGCCGTGATGGGAAAGCACATCAGAGAAAAGCTGCATTTGGGACACTGAGCATGTTCGTGTGATTCTCCAGAGCAGAGATAAAGCAAACAGCGGGTTACAGCTGTGCCCCCAGTCTGGCTCCTTCCCAGTGCTCGAATGCAGATGTGCAGCTGGGGCTCCTTGCCAGTGCCCGAATGCAGATGTGCAGCTGGGGCTCCTTGCCAGTGCCCGAATGCAGATGTGCAGCTGGGCCCTGCCAGTGCCCGAATGCAGATGTGCAGCTGGGCCCTGCCGGTGCCCGAATGCAGATGTGCAGCTGGGGCTGCCTGCCGCGCTCCCGCCCCAAATCCCTTTTCTCTCAGCCCCGGCTAGCTCTTGTGGGGCGAGGGCGGGCGATGGAGAAAAGGGATTTGGGGCGGGAGCGCGGCAGCTGGCGCCCCACGTTGGGCGCCAGCTGCCGCGCTCCCGCCCCGGTTCCCTTTTTCTCCGCCCCGGCTAGCTCTCAGTCTGGGGCGAGGGCGGGCGATTGAGGCACCCTCCGCCGCTCCCAGCTGGGGTTTGGAGAGTGCCTTTGTGGGTTCTGGGCAGTGCTAGCAAGCCTCGCGGTGGTAAATGAAGAGTGGATCCTGCTGGGGGCTAAGTCCGAGTTTATTGTAGCCCAACGGGGCCAAATATCTTAGAATGGTGCCAGCCAACAGGAACAAGCACAAGGTGCTTGCACTGGCTTATAAACTGTAAGGGAGGGGTATCCAACGACCAATGGGGATAGGGATAGGGGGTGGCTCCGGGATGGGGGGATATGGTGGGGTCCAATGGGGGAAGGATATGGGGGGAGTCCCAGGTCCTCGCCCAATCACCCGGTGCCCTGCGTAGAAGCTTCTGGATGGATGGGAAGGGGCACTGAGTGATAGACAAGGCAGCCGGGGGTGGTAAAATGCCTCTTTCAGGGTGATGGATGGATACTGGGAAGGCGGGAAGGGAGGACAAGGCGGGAAAACTGGAGATAAACCAAGTTGCACACGGGGGTACAAAGGAATAAACCAATACATAATACAGGGATAATAAAACATACAAATAACGCAACTCCACAGCTGCCGGCAGCGCCGCCGTGCCCGTGGCAGTGCCCGGTGGGCTGCGGCGCTGCCAGCACAGCCCTGCCCCGGGCACGCCACAGGGCATGGCTGGCCCCAGCTCGGGCTGATGAGGAGCAAGAGCTCCGTGAGCTTTAGTCTTCTCCAGCTGAGACCTACTGAACATTCCTTAATCTTTAACAAGACTGTGTAGCCCTTTTAAAAATGATTTCTGATCAAGTTACAGCCCCTGCAGATTAACCACATAAGAGTTCCACACAGTGAAACTCAGGTTGATCTATGCTTAAAATGAGAAATGTTAAGAACCTCTCTGCTCTCCTAGGTCATTTACATATGCCCACTCTATATTCATTAGTTTGACATTTACTGCTTTTGTTCTGTCAGCAGAAAGATGACTTGATTTTCACTGTTGTTATTAAAATGTCGCGGGTATAATAGCACTATGAACAGTGCAATAGATTTACATAGTGAATAAAATATGATTTCTGAGGATTAATTGCTGGTAGGAAACTAAATTTTGATAACAACTTACAACAGGTTAGCAATTAACTAAATAGATTCTAACTAAATTCTAACTAAATAGAATTATTTTATTAACATGTTTTATAGATGAGTCATTAGAGACAAACCCCCAAGAAAATGCTTATCTCTCATCTAAAACATTATGAAAGCAAAGATATGGTGATCATTTTCTTGAAAAGGACAGCAAAAGCAAGAAGCAAGCAAAGAGAAAAATGGTAGAAAATTTGTTGCTTGTTTCAAACCACGAAGAGCTCCAGTGCTGGTAAAGCTTGTTTTCAAATTTGATTGTGATAACAAAGTGAAACAAAGCTCTTGTTTTTATGCATATATGACAATAAATAGTAATTTTTGAGCAGAAATATGTTATGTCTAATAAAATATTATCCTGAGGCAAAAGTTTTGTGGGATTAAATGAAATATTTCTGGAATTGTGATCCAATAAAGCCCTACCTAGCTGCCATCACAATATGGGTACCTTTGAACTGCCACTTCTCTGTCTCTGAGCTCCTGCAAGGCACAGAGGTCTGCAGAGCCATAGGATCAGCTGTGCAGGTCAGGAACCCAGCACAGCCTGGGAATGTGCAGTGTGCACCCAGCAGCACCAGAGCTCTGCATGCCACTCCTCACCTGCTTTGAGAGATGCTTGTGGCAGAATCTCTGTCTCTCATAAAGTTCTCAGACCACTTAGCACTTGGAAAAGCTGTGACCAAGGTTGGCACCAGATCCACAACCCCTTACTTGGAGACTGAGAGTATCAGCAGGCTGCTCCAAGGGACAGAGCCTTTGCAGAAAGCCTTTGCAGAAAGCAATTCAATATTTATCCAAAATGGAACTGAAGGAATGCATGACTCCATAGCCTAACACTTCAGATGCTAATTTACATTTAAGGAGTTCTTTATCCAGTGAATGCATTGTAGAAGTACAGTCAAAGTTCTGTATAAAATTCCTGAAGCAGAAAAGAGGACTCAAGTTTACTGTTTCCTGGTAAAGTTTTATATCCACATATATGAGCTTTATATCATGCTACAGAATCATAAGTAGAAAATCCTGAAAAATATTACGTACTGCTGCCCTAGGAAGGGCTTCAGACCAGAGGCATTTCTTCAGCCATAACTGGTGTGATATTACCTGCCTCAGTGAGGCTTTATGAGGGACATTTGGCATCCTAACAGTTGGCAGCAGGAATTCATGAGAAATTGAGCAAGCTCTGTTTTTTGGATTTATCCTAATGAGTTTATCCTGATTCCTAGCTATCCACAAAAGTTTAGATGGCAGAAATACTTCCATTTTTACAACTGGAGCTAAAAAAGTACCTGTTGCATATAATAAACTAATTTCACATACTATAAGCTTGGATTTGGCAGGTGAAGCTTATGTAACACTCAAAAAAACCTCAAAATACAACACTGAAAACCTGAGAATTTAATATTACTTTTATAATGTGCAGTCTCTTATTCTTCTGCTCCAATATGATTTTTCTGAGTGAAAGATCTTCAGATCATTGAGCATAAAAGCTTTTGTATCAAAGCAAGTTTTAAAATGTTATTCAAAATTATTCTGTTGCTACAAAGGTACATTCTAGTCTTTATAATGATCCCTTTAGAACAATCCCAGATAATTGGCAGGGCAAAATTGTTGTTTGTTAAATTATCACCTAGAAGAGGTGGTGAATAGATTATAATTTCCTCTATTTCCATAAATTGGCCTATCTAATTTACTGGTTAAGCAGCACATCAGATTGCAGAAGAAAAATAACCTGACTGAGCTCCAGAAATATATTTCTCTTTATCTGCTATAGTTCCATAAACTGCAGCTCACATAGATAAATATTTTTCCATTTAGACTTCAAACTCTTATCTTCATGTTACAGTCTGTAGAGCCTAAAGTGTGATTTAGCGAACAAAGTAGTAGGAAAGACTGACTAGTTCTGATAAAACACAGAGAAAGATTAAGACTTTATTGGAGATAATGTCCTGAGATTACTTGGGACACAAACTCATGTGGGTATCTCTGTCCTCCAACTGACATTTGATAATATTTCAGCCTTTCTAATTTGTAGTACAGATTTTGCTGCTTGGATTTGAAAGGCTCTGGAAGACATTGACCCTTTGTGGATTATAGTGGAAACAAGCAGCTCTGCCTCTTGCTGCTGCCAAAGATCATTGCTGCCTGCCCAGTTTGGATCCATGAGGGCCCATGAAGCAGATTTTTTCCATTTGTTGTTTAATAGAAGATGAAGGGTTAATTTATTTTTTTCTATAGGAAGATAAGCCAGAGTATATTTTTTTTTAAAATATGGATTTTCCCCCAGCCCACAGCCTGCTCGAGTTGATGAGCCTGTGATTAATAAAGCATCCTGTGGGTTGCAAGGTTGAGTCTGGGTGCACCTCCCTGCCTCCCTGTATTCTGTACGCCAGGCCAGTAGTTAGTAAATTTTAGTATATTCTTACAGAAGGGTCACAAAGGTCATAAAAGTTTCTTTCCCTATACTTTTTTGGTCTTCCATGATAATTATTCTGCACACAGACACACAAAAAAAAAAAAAAAAAAAAAA